TAGTATTAGTATTAGTATTAGTATTAGTATTAGTATTAGTATTAGTATTAGTATTAGTATTAGTATTAGTATTAGTAGTATTAGTAGTCGACTAATTAGTCGATTAAAAATAGTCGACTATTAGTTGTTCAAAAAAAAAGTTTACTCGATTATTTTAGTCGATTCCAATCTCTAATGTGTGTTTTATCCAGTTGTACGTTAGGCGGGTTTGATTATGATGCTTATTTGAAAATGCCATATAAGTATTTAAAAAAATCGCAATAGTTCTTTACCTATTACCATATATTTTTGTATCTCGCTAAGTGCTTGATCAAATTGAGTGATCTTAGATTCAAAAGAAAGCCTGAATTATTATTTATAGTTAATATTTAGTAATGTTATTTAATATTTAATATTGATTTTAAATCACAATTCGTTGACGCATTTTAATGATATTATTAAATATCTCTTTACATTTCTCTTCTTTTTTGATAATTTGTATATTATGGCGCGTCGTATTTAAAAAAAATTGCAAATCTTTAACCCCTGATAACTTTGAAAATATTTGTTAGTCCACAAAAAAACTCTATTTTTGCAATACTTGGAACGTAAGCAACAATGTAATAGAGATATTTTTTAAAGTTAATTATATAGTAATGTAAAAACTATAGTATGAAATCAAATAAAATCTTATCAATCATCTTTAATTTATTATTTGAAAATTTTGGGGTGTGTTTGAATACAAAATTCTGATTGGCTAATTTGAATTTCACACGCGTGAATTTCCAAATTGATTGATCAAACCATCTGATTTATGTGAGCTCATTACAATAATCTTAAATGAATCATACGGTGCCTATCTTTATAAATATAATCCCATACTTATGTCGTTAAAAAATAGTTCATTGCAAATTCAAAGGTCATCAACTTGATATGTATAATGTGTTAATAAAACTTATTGGGATATTTCAAATGTGTAAAGGAAAAACATTTTTCTTCACAAAAAAAAATCATTCCGATATGAATATCTAGCTCATAATATAATAAGCCACCCGGCTTTTATTTCCACATTGATATTTAACAATTCACTAACTGCTACTTGAGTTTACAAATTCGTTGAATAATTTTCTAATACTAAAGTTAAAAACTTTCCTTGATTGTTAATGTAATATTATTATGACACTTTCACAATATGGACAGCAACAAAATGTAGTTTAACTTTGGCAATAAATTTTGAATTTTAAATAATTGATCGCGTATCTATCTATTGCATCTATCTTATTTATATACTATTTTATGGATCATATTTTGCTAAATTGGATGTCACATCATCGAAACATTTAAATATTCCAGGTTTGAGGAAATAATTTAAATGAAAATCGGAGACAACAACAACAAGATGATGATGGAGGTAGAAAAGTTAAATATATCAGTTGATAATGAATTAAATATAATTTATTCAATTATTCAATTACTTTATATGTTTAAAGAGATAGATTTGAAGTACATTTTATTTATTTTTCGTAAAAGTTTTTTGTTTTGATAATAGAAAGAAAAAATGAAATATATATATTTATAAAAGAATTTGTTCGGATAAAAGAATTTGTTTAATCATCATCATCATCGTCATCCTCCTCATCGTCATCATCATCATCGTCATCATCATCATCATCCTCCTCGTCGTCGTCATCATCATCATCATCATCATCGTCATCACCACCACCATCATCATCGTCATCATCATCATCATCATCATCATCATCATCGTCATCATCGTCATTATCATCATCACCGTCATCATCATCACTAGTAGTATCATCATCACCTTCAACATAAACACTTTTGGGTTTATTTGCATCATCTTTTTTTGTCAATAAATTTCTCGTAGATATTTGTTGTGTTAATATCTCAAGTCGGCCATGAAAATTCAATAATTTTTGAAATGATGAACATCGTGTATCCAAAGTTTTATAAAAATTTGAGAGTCTACTCGTTAACCGAGGGATCTAATAGAAAAAAATTGGTTTTTGATCTTTAATCAATATTAAATCATAACCTATTCATGTTATTCTTACTACACACATATATTTATAAATATTATATATTATGTATACCACACCGTCATCAAATAAGCCATATGAATTATTAACACAGATTTTATCCATCTTAAAAGATTTGTTCCATAATTAGGGTTCCCCTGAAATTTATCAATCATACTTTCTAGAAATGGCACAACAAACTGTGTAGGTAGTTTTTTTACTGTATTATTTATAATTTCTAGATTTGTTTGACTAAGTACTTCTTTTAATAGATGTTCATCACTAGAGTGCAATGCTTGAACTAATACTTGTTGCATTGAATTAGCTTGTGGTTTCTGAATTTTTCTGTTTTCTTCAACCAGACTATTATTATCACTATTAATTCTGTTGCCATTGTTTTTGTGATTATTGGATAAATTCAAATTCTCAAAATTTTTAAGTCCACTCTAGATTAATAATAAATATTGTTATTTTTCCCCTCATAAATTTAATTTTTTCAAAAATAAATTATAGAAAATTACTCACATTAATATTTATCATATCAGATTCTCCATTAGATATTGAAATATGATTGTTTGGCAATATTACATTAGCTGTTAACTCATCATATTCTTTATGTGTCACTTTCTAATATATTTAGAATAAATAAATGTAAAAATTAAATTTTGAGGGATTTTAATTTAGAAAATATATTTTTGAAAAATTTACCAATTTTTTTGCAGCTAAATTTGATTCATCATTTAGTAAACCCATTGGCTGGTGTCTTGATAATTTCAATTCTTTTTGAAATTCGCCAGTTTCTTCATCAGTAAACCGCTAAATCAATAAACAAAATAATAGAATTATAATTAATTATTGTTATTGTTATTATTAACATCGCCACCACCACCACCACTACACTCATAATATCTACCACTCTCTCAAAGATAGGTTTCACAGTACTTCCTCTAGCTATCAATACTAATCCAGTTTCTTTCTTTGCTGATTGATCAACAAAACATGCAGATAAAATTGGTATTATTGAAACGCCATCTTCATCTTTTATAGTTTTAATAGTTGAATCTGGAGTTCTGGTTGTAAATTTTTGCTTTATTTTACTACTACCACCACCACCATTATTCTTGTTATTATTATTTGATGATGATTGTGATAATGCATTCTTAAATAAATTTAGGGTTCCATCTTCCGAAGTTGCTAGTATGGTATTTGATTTTGAAATCGAAAGTTGTATTACATTTGATTCCAAGGTAAATGCTTTAAAAAAATTAATTTATTTTTTGTCAATACGAATTTTGTATATATATATATATATATATATTAAAATTCAAAAAATTTAAATATTCTGATCTATTTTTTTTTTATTTAGTTAACAAAGAAATTTTACAATGCCATTTTATAGTTGACATCTTTGTATACTTTACCAGTCATATTGTCTCCATATAAATATGTATTCTTAGTAAGATTGTATTTATTATTATTGTCATTAACTTTGTCATCATCATTATCGTTTTGGCATCTCCATACATTTATGTATCGATCATGCTCTGCACTTGATACGCAAACTTTATTATCATTAGAAAATATAATATTTGTGATAATACTCGCATGCCCTGTAAAAGTTTTTATAACCTTTTTTGTCTCAAGATCCCATAATTTGATATCGTTGTTAGTACTTAACAATCTTTCCCCGTCGTGAGATATCGCAAGATGTTTTGGAATTTGTTTTGCGTCTTTCCATTTTCTATTTAAGATATATATTAATCTTAATTATTAATATCTGATAAATAAATAAAACTTTAAATACCCGATCTCTTTAAATTTTTCAAGATCCCATTCAACAATAAACGAATCATCCGAACACGAGTAACCTCTCTTTTCTTTAGTGAAAAATACAAAATCATTAATTGGTAGTGTGTGTGATCCTTTTAAAGTTTTAATAATTGCCCCGTGTGCAATCGAATAAAATACTATTGATCCATTTTGTAACCCAAGTGCTATAACGATATTACAATCTCCTTGTTGAAACTCTCGTTGCTTTCTTTTGTTCTTTAACTTGTTACCATTATTCTAATTATACAAATAAATTGTAAGGATATTTCCAACAATCGGAGAAATATATTAAAAAAAACTTTAAAACAACTTACAACTTGACCATTACTATTTTGATTTTCATCAACACCACTCTCGTTTTTTATGAAAAGCTTTCCCCAGGTTAAACAAGTGAATTTGTCTTCTTTTATCGAATGAAACTCATTATTTATCACATTGTTGTGTGTATCAAAAATTCGTAATCGATGACAGTCAACACTTTGAGTTACCATTGCAAAAAAATTGGCCTCTGGTAAATCAAATTTTGCTAAGAGTGGCTCAACTATTGTAGTATTTGGTAAAGTAGTTGAATTAATTGAGTTCTTGTTTGGTTTACGTACTTTTTTACCCATGTTTATTAGTTTCTTTATAATTAATTAAAAATAATAAAAATAATAAAAATAATCAAAAAAAAAAATATAGATTGTGTACAAAATTTTTTTGCGTGTAACAAAAATTTTAGAGTTCACAACTGCAACACTATTATAATTATAATTATTCGAACTATCCAACTACAATATCAACTTCTACTACAACATCAAGTTAATAATTATGAAGGTTAACTTATATTTATTATTATTCATCTATAGGATCTACACCTGTAGCAACAATTTTAGGAATCAAATTCCTAAAGCACCAGTATACTCGCCTACAGTAATTGAAACACTCCAACCATAACAGATCCAACTATTAATAATGTCACTAAACTACTACAAACACTATATATTCACATTCTTCTTCTTCAATTAATAATAATGTCGGGAAAAGTTATTATTATTATAATCATAATAGTTCAATTAAAAATTCAGACCATACATAGATCGAATAATATTGATATTGGTGATGTCAGTGATAAAGAACATTTTGTTCGAGCTGCTGGAGGAAAGATTCTGCGTTGTTAGATTGGGATTCAGGCAAGTAATTTATTTGAGAGAGAGAATTTTTTTAGAAAAAAAAGCAATTAGAAATATTTTAGTGATTTTGGCCATTGATAAAATCAATTCCAACTATACAGAATTGGATTACGATATACATACATCATATACGCACATAATAGTGAATTAACAATCTTACGATTTTATTATTATCACCATAACTTTTCAATCAAATTAACTATATATGAAGAGTCAATAGGGTTAAAGGAATTGCTACAAATGAAATTATTGATAAAAATGAATAACCAAAATAATAGTTTTCAAGAATATTTCATCTTCATCCGTCAGCACCACGGTTGAAAAAGTCTTTTTCTAAAAGATAATTACCATGCTTCTTGCAAATGTCTTTGCCACCTTTTGCATCTGGATGCCATAAAATTTTTGGATTCCAAAAATATGGGTACCTGGTGTTACCTCCTTCCCAGTCAAAATCAATGATTTTGATCTTTCCAGTATTTGAGATCATAATGTTGGGTGTAAATCTCCATGTACATAACTTTCAGAATGCAAGATGCAAATTATTTCCTTCGATAGAACCATCAATTCTGTTTATAAAAATGGTAAATCCGCTATGCAAATGCTCCATAACTACCACAATTAATTAATAAAAGGTATTAAAATTTAATTTAATTCACAATAACAAGCAAAAATTGAAGAATTAAAAAACTTGATAAATAAAAAAGTGTTGTTATATATTTTTTTGAATGCATATATATAGTACATGACATGTTGGACGACACTTAATCATCAATTAAATTTACATTGCTGAAATTTCGGCATCTATGACTTAGAGTTTCTATATTCTTAATACAAATTCATATTCGAATTATTCGTCCATTGAATTCATTTAAATGTCCAAGGAAAAAAAATTCTAACAGCAATAATAAATACATCTAACAGCAATCATATATTCGCCAACAATAATATATTCAACAACAATAAATCCAACAGCAATAATAGCTTTTAAGAAGAAGTAATGGATTATTTGAAAAAAGCAACGAATTTAATAGAACAGAAGAATCACATATTTACATGATCGGAAATACTTCTGAAGTTACTGGAAATTACAACAATCAAGAAAGTGAATATGGGAGTTCTCTAGTAAAGGTACCTTAACATTAAATTTGTTTGAGTAACAATCCCTACAAAATATGTTATATAAATTATATAAATTAAAGTTTTGTATATACAGTCGGAACTCGTTAAACCGATGTGCTCAAAGAATCGTTTTATTAAGAGTATAAAATGAAGTTGATATCTTTTAAAAAAAATTCGGCGTTGACTTGCTAGCGAACTTCTATATATAATAATAATAAAATGCTACTTCTAACGAATTTTAAAACGAATAACAGGGTCTTTATTCGTTGGAGTAGGTTTCGATTGTATTTTTCATTTTATTTTTTAATATAGTTTCGATAAACCGATATTATTCATCTTATAATTTATCATATGTGGAGCCATATGCAATAATTCTCTGAAACATTAAAGTGAAACAATAGGAATATTCGTTTATTGAGTTGATTTTTATTATAAATGAACAGGTTAACTAGAAAAACTCCGTTATAACAAAAATTCATTTTATCGAGTTCCGACTGTATCTCATTTTTTTAAATTAAGGAAAATAATCAGGGACTGATTTTAAATAATCCTTATAGTATAAATATATATTATACGAAAAACTCAATTTTGGTCAGAGAGTACTTTTACTAGAGAAACCTGTATACAAATTCAATTGGTTCTATTTATGAAACAAGTATGATAGAAATTGTTCAAGTATAAAAATAAAGTTTTCTGCAGGTCCAAATGAAACCAACATTTATTCAATAAAATGGCCTTTTTACTGTAGGTGTATAAACAAATAAGAAATTTTTAATACCAATTTTTTTTATAACTATATAACACAATCTCATTTAGTAACACCTAGATCCAAAAAGAAATCCTACAAGGAAGTTACATTATAAATGTTATTAATGTAGAGCAAGATGGTAAATTATCTTCAGGTAGGTTTATAGTACCTTTTTATCAACTAACACAATCTTCTTCAGTAGCACCTAAGTCTAAAAATAATATTTTGCAAGGAAGTTCCATTACAAATATTATTAACAAGATGGTGAATTATCTTTGGATGAATTTCTAGTACCTTCACAAATTTCTTCAATGACAATACCAAATTTACAGTGAATAATCAATCTAGATATCCATTAAAAAAAAAATAGATTGACAGATAGCTTTTTTAAATATAAAAAAAGTTGATGGATTGCAGATGAAAATTTTGGAGATTGCATTATTATTATAGGATATCTAGATGGTCCATACCATTCCTTTATTTATTATTATCATATTTTAAAATCCAATAAATTCATTTTTAATTATACTAATGGATAATGATTATAATAATGAACCTACTTGTATAAATTCAAAGAAGAATTGGATGAAGTGTCAAATGTAATTCCCCAAATCTGTATTTCCTCTATAGTAAATTCTTAAATATCGCATACAGCATTTTAATTTTTTTTTTAATATAGTAAGTAATGGCATTGTTTTTTGAGATTAACTTATTCTAGGGTTCCCTGGCAGTGATCTCGAATATTTATTTGAATATTCGTAATTACTTCAAATATTTAAACACTTTTGTTTATTTCGAATATTCATAATTATTTGTGTTTATTTCAATTTTAATAAATACTTGACAAATTACAGTATACCTACTAAATTATATTTGCTATAAAAGAAAAAACCATATTCCATTTGGGTTTTGAGAAGACGCTTTTACTTGAACTTGGGATGTTTTTACACTTCCATGATCACCCAAATGAAGCTCTCACGTAGCATATCTTTCTTATGTTTTTTTTGGATGGTGGTTGATGAATTATCCGACGATAATGGCAAAATAGATGAAAAAGGTTCCAAATTTGTTGTTAGATATCTTGCATATTCATAAACATGGGTTAGCTCACCCTCTAATGTTGAAACGCATACTTGAAAATTAAGTAATTAAACAAATATTTATAATTGTACCAAATGTTTGAAATGATTCTAAATATTTGTAATTGTTACAAATGTTTTACTATTACGAATATCTAAATTACGAATATCCGAAATAGTTATCATTACGAATATCCGAGTTACTATTACGAAATAAATTATGTAAACTCGATAATATAAATAAGAACATTTTATTCATATAGACTATATTTTCAGCACCAAAAGAATAATACAACTTTTTATGATCAAGTCAAAATACATCTATGGATGAAATTAGCGAGTATTTAAAAGAAGGTGGATTTGAATTTGATTGCAAAACAATTTCTGTGACCTCAACACCAAGTGAAAGATTGTTTGAAATTTATTAACTGCTAAGAGGTCACATTTAAAATTTAGAATAATCATTTAAACATGTGTTATCAAGTTGTATTAAATCTATTCACCTATCAAATTAGTTTTGAATGCAACAAACATCAAAATTATTGGTATTTCTATACTTTTGATAATAATATTTTACTATTACCATTACTGTTATTATGCTTCTAATTACTAATCTATTACTATTACTATATATAATCTCTTCAATCCAACAGATAATCCATTCAATCCATTCAATCTGATTATCCAGACCATCCAATGAAATCCAATGGATGTATTTTTTGAGTAATGAATGGATGATGCAGATGAATGGATGTCCATGAATTGCATCACTACTTTTGAGTCTAGAATAAGAAAAAAATGTTGATGGGAGTCAAGATGTAGATAACAGACAAAAAAGGATCCAAGTTGATTAAAATTATAACAAAATCCCTCAAATGAATAAGTAGATAAATGAAATAGAATGAGTATAAAATGATTTTTATTATGCTTTACTTTGTGCCTACCTGTTTCTATAGTAATTCTCATTAATGTATCTTGTAATTTTTTAACTTGTCCATCTCATTTATCTTATTTAGTTTTTTTTCACCACTTCAACTCCTTTTTGTCTTTATATTCCTCATCTTCAACTTACTTAGTCTTTCCAACTTCTCAGCATATCTGTTATATTTGTTTGTTTATTATTAAATGAAAGGAAATAAGAAGTAATAATACAACATTTACAAGATGTATTTTAAATCAATTTTATTGGTGGGTTGGGCGAATACAGCAACATATTGAAAAGTTGATAATTTTTTTGAAGGCGAATGAATAGTGTTTGTAATGTGATTTGTTTATTAAACAGCTTGCCTCTCAAGCTATTAATGCATTGTTTATTCAAACAATAATTTTCTTCATAAACAATCAAGAATTACAGCACAGGACATTAAATCATTTATATGTAGGTTATTCATCATATATAATTTTATTTTTTTTTTCTCTCCTATATAAAGATTAATTGTAGTCAAGGTATGCATATCACCTTATTAATCCACCCTTAAAATACTCAATTAAAC